TAAGGGCGCATATGACTTATGTCATCAGTATCACGGAGCACGACTACGGTGAAAGGTTCGGTTTGGAGGTAATCCCATCCCACTCTGCCAATATTTCCATGTAGGAGGAAACCCCAGTGATCTGAGTCACGGAGCAAACCCACGACTTTTTACGACGACCAGAAATTAAAAACAAAAATGATCATGTCGCTGGGCATTCATTGCATTACATTGTAGCCGGTTTCCGTCAAAAATTTTCCCGCTCTTTTTCTTTTGCTTTATTTCGAATTATTTGTGGCGAAGTAAGGCCCACATTACAAGCTTAAATGGTTCTTAATTAATTATGCTTGAGTCACTTAATATTTTCTTGGGCCTTTACCCTTATCTTAATCTCGATATTCTACCAATAAATCAAAAAATTTTGCCGACAATTTAGCAGTTTTCCTCATTGATATTCAGTACACGTCAGCATGTACATGTTCAGTTAAGATGACCTACCTTATACCTACCTACCTGCCTGTCTGCCTGCCTGCCTGCCTGCCTGCTTGCCTGCCTGCCTGCCTGCCTGCCATCTATTTATCTATCTACTGTATGATAGCTGCAAGTTATATATGTTCCTGTGCTCCAAAGCAGTCCCTTTTCTTTACAAGTTATATATGATCCGTGTAAAAAACACTCTTAATATTAATAGGGACGTTTTATAGGAGGGACGGTATACGCGGTCAAAATAATATAACCTGAATTTTTAAATTGCGTTTTTTACCTTACCTAAAAGCAGTGTTTGAAATTTATATGTGTGGTTTTTTCGGCAGTAGAATATATATTGGCATAATGGATACGAGACAAAATCTACTAGAGGAGTTCATTGGAATGCTGCCCCGAGAAAAGTTTGAACATTCAGTTTCTCAGAGAGGCGGAAATGCAACTAAAATTTTCCAATTAGAGCATTGCATTCGCTTTTAACTTGCAAGTTTGCTTGTCAGTGCTCTTATAATTTACTTGAAAATCAGTTCAAATCACTTCTAAATTTACCTGAAGTCACTCATGACAATTTTTTTGGGGGTACCCCCCGTCACTATATACCGCCCTGTTTCCGGGAAATATTCACTCATTTCTTATTCAGTATATTTTATTTCATTCCACATACATACTTACATAATCATTGTTCATTTCATATAAAGAACGTAATACATACGGTTTATTCCGCTTCAATATAATCCCCAATAATAACAAAGGTTAATCAGTAATTACTCAATGTGTGCAAGTCAAGTTAGCTGAAATATATAAGATCTATTATTGGGGTCCGATTTCAATATTTCTTAGATCGACAAGTTATTTTTGTAATTTTCCTAGATGTTCAGGATTTTGGGGCAAAACAAATATTTGCAAATACAAGAAAGAAGAAAGCGCAACAAATAACGTGCTCTCCAAACGTTCCAGATCATGTGGTGACAACGAAAGGTACATGTGCTACATACAGCATTAAATAATTAACAGTTATTTTGCGAACTCCAGTCGTATATAATTTGACTTCAACTCTAACTCTTAAATTCCCTACATGGCCCCTTGATCATGGGAAACGTCCTCGCTTGAATAATTTTTTTCTAACCTCGTTATTACGCCATACTGTGTAATATTCGAATTCCCTACAGAAAAATAACACTCTTTTAATACCTAGGCATAAGACCAATAGACTCGCTAATCAGGACCGTAGCTAGGGGGGGGGGTATTGGGCGGGGGGGTTAACCCCCCAACTTTTTTAGAATTACCATATTCGGAAAATCGGGTTGGCTATTCTGAAAATTACTGCAATAATAGTATAACAAAATTTTAGTTGTTAAACAGAGAAAATATAATATAATTGTATTGTCAGTATAAACTGAATTACGAAATCATAGCATTTACATGGATAACATCATTAACAAATCGTAAATCGGTTTATTACTTTTAACAAATCGTAAAAATGTTTTTCGGTTTTAATATTACTTCCAGGGCCGTAGCAACCGGGGGCTGCAGCCCTCCCAATAATTTGCTAATAATCATTCTTTTTTTCAAAATCATGCAGCCCTTTATCATTTAAATGGTATACCTTTAAAATACTGACAATTGATTAATTTTAAGCGGCTATATTATCCATGACAAACTTCAAAGAATCATATTACCCATACTTTCCTGCAATTTCTCCAATATATAGTTAATCAAATACGCCTTCGCCCACTTAATAGTACTACTAAATTGAAAGCAAATTGTAAATTTCGACGTACTAGAGCGCTATTTTCTGACCATCAGAGTTCTGTCAAAACTTCCCCAAAGTCCAGGAAATGGCATTTCAGGGACTCTAAATTTAAAAATTTCCTCGCTTCCCTACGCCGCACTGCATGCTTCTGTAATATGTCTGTGCGTAGAATATGCATGCGTATTTTTGTTTGTAAATTGGTCTTCATTTTCTGGATAGAAAACACCTTCGTGGCTTTGCATGCCATGAAATATTCTGAAATTTTTTTCATCATTCGGAAATTTTTAGCCTACACCCCCCCCCCCCCAACTAAGATGCTAGCTACGGCGCTGTCGCTAATGCTTTATTATAGCCGGTAGTAAAGCTTACAACGCCAGTATCTCTTACAGGTAATGTACGCGAAGCGTTCCTTTCTTGACTTCCTAACTCATTTGGAATTTCCTCATTAGCTTTGCAAATTTGAAAAACTCTTTGTGCAAATCCCTTGTAGAAATTTGCAATGTCTATCTACTGTTGCAATATTCCAATGCAAAAAAGAAACACTTTATTTTAAATTTTCCTAACATTCTGTTTTAATTTCCTGACTTCCTGTTTTGTTCTGTTCTGTCCTGTTCTGTTCTGAGCGTTGATATTGCTGGACAGAACAGGACAGGACAGGTCAGGACAGGACAGGACAGGAAAGGACAGGACAGAACAGAACAGAACAGAACAGAACAGAACAGAACAGAACAGAACAGAACAGAACAGAACAGAACAGAACAGAACAGAACAGAACAGAACAGAACAGAATAGGAAGTTAGGAACTTGTAACAGGAAGTTCAGAACTTCTAACAGGAACTCAGTAAAATTTAATCGGATTTTAGCAACATTTCAAATTCCCTCAAGGGATTTGCAAGGGAGTTTTTTAAATTGCAAGGTAATGAAGAAAACTGCAATCAATTTAGAAACTCAAAAGAGGAATGCTTGATGTAGTTTACCTGTAACCTAAGTGTACTTTTTTAGTATTTTATATAATTATATGGTTCCTTTGTAGGGTTTGTAAATAGTTTAGCGTGCGAATACGTATATATTCAGATATGTAGACCAATGTAATTCAGTTTTTAACTGCATGCAAATTAATTTGGTAATAATGCTTTTCCTAATTTCAATATAACTTAACAGACAACAACATTGAAATGCTGTACTGAAGTGTCATATCAAATAGTAATTTATTGTTATACACTGTGAATCTAATTTTGTGTCCAGGAAGTGTCGAAGACTATCCGGATGGTTTCGCCGTAAACCTAAACCTGCTGCTGATGATTATTACGAAGACTGTTGTCAAGGATGGACAGATAAAGGCCCACTGGGATGCCTAAAAAGTACGTGTTCCTAATCTTGTTTTTGCGCCCGTGCGAGCAAATTCAAAGGAGGGTCTCCCAGGAGTCCCAGGAGGGGAGTCGCTGTTCCCCTTTTTATTTGAAGAGTTTCCCTTCGTTCTCTTCAGGTTCCCAAAAAACGATTTCACTTTGAAGAATGGTCTTCCCCAAAACACTTGGAAGACCCTCTTAAATTACTGCACAAGTAACAATTATCGTCTTGGCTTTTATCCGAATGAACTGCAGGAAAATAAATGCATGCACTAATTCCTTATAAGGTTTGCGGCAATGATAGTTTCATGCCTTGGTTCAGTTTATGAGTTAGGGTCAGCGGTTAGGGTGAGATTTCTGGTCAAGTGTTAGCATTATAACTGACATGTGATGAATCTATGATCGTTCCCAGTGTGAAGTTAATTGCGGTAGTTCGGAATGCAAGTGGATTTTAAGCTGCTTATAACTTCGTATTGTAAAATAAATAGTTAAATTACATTAATCAATAATCATGCACCTTGGTGACTACGGAACTTGCACACCGATTATCATGAATTTATTAGGTTTGGGAGAATCACTGTATTCTTGGGTTTCACTAAGGCATTATGCACGCAGTGAATCTGACGGGGGGTCGACCTCAAATGTATTCATGCTTTTGCTGTACTGGAGTGTGTTTTGTTTTACAGTTGACCCCCCGTCACTTCTGTGACGTCATGAAACCCAAGAATATCAATAGCGAGCTTATAAGCAAGCGACGTTTTTGAGAACACAAGCGGCATGAGTAACGTTAAAAGACTGGGTCAAGAATTTTGATTGGTTGATAACGTCAAATTTGCTTCCGGTAAACGTTCGTGTTGTCAAAAACGTCGCTTGCTTAATTAAGCTCGCCAATCTGTTTTACCGAAACCGTGGTATTGATGAAAACCAGAATACCCGAAAAATACCAACAACCGACTGATAAGTCATTCGCGGCAAAACCCAACTGGCTATGTCAAAAATATGCTATTATCAGGACGACATTTAATTAAAATTAAATTTTGACAACAAACACGAAAAATGCAGTATTCTAGAAATGTATTAATTAATAAAAAGTTAGTATTTTTGACCTTAGAACCTCGATTGTCGACCCTCGACCTCGACTTTTTACTGAACCTGACATGTAGTACAGCCAAAATATTTCCTCCATTAAATTGGCCCAAAGCTTTGTTTTTCTTTTTCGCATTCACTCGATTACATTTATCTACTAGAAGATACATGCATACAGAAACCCCTCGCCTTGCTGACAAAACCATTGTATTTTCCGAACATGAAGTATTTAAAGTAGTTGTTATGGTAACACGATAATTTAAGCATATTTTGCCAAAAGGAAAAATCTCATAAAAATATAACAACAACACAGAAAAAGTCATGATTATTAGATTGATATAGATATCGAAGGAACAAGACTCGAACCGTTATGACCGCGCGTGGCTCAGTTGGCAGAGCATTGGGCTAGTATTCCAAAGGTCGTAGATTCGATTCCCACCGTGACAGGCATATTTTCCAAGCTTCATGCCCGGTGTGGATATACACTCAGCGTAACATCACAAACATCATATTCAGCTGAGTACATAAGGGAAGCCTCACATATCGATTTCGTCCATGAGAAACGTCATATGTTCGTTTCTCTGAAGACCCCCCCCCCCGCCCACCCACCCTTAGAAACGTCACACATAGTTATCGATATTTTGTTCAATATAGTACACATAAGGTAATTTTCTACTATTTTCTACGGTCGGCTATTGGCAACGCTTCCGTGAGGAATATGTCATCTTCTGCTGACAAATCGTTTTTTTATTAATATATATTAATATATATGAACTTCAAAATTTCCTTTTTTTGCATGAAATATTGATAATTTTAGCGTTATTTTCTTGAAATTTTAATTTAGTGTTTTCAATGCAAGGAAGGCGTAATAATATAAATGTATACCTGTAGAACAGGTATGGTATTAGGAATGTAGGCCTATAGACTGGTGTTTGTATCAAGTTGTTTTCTTTTTTATACTCTGCAAAGACGATTTCGAAATGTTAAGGCTTCCATGATATTTACAGAGAAACGTCACAGCTGCCCCCCCCCCCACCCCCAAACGAACATATGACGTTTCTCGTGGAAAAAATCGATATGCGAGGCTTCCCTAACACCAACACAGAAAAAACCAATATCACCTTTAATTACAAAATGATGATTTCCCAAACATACATATGTTAGGTATGTTATTATATGTAATATAAGCTTCAATTTAAGGTAAAATTCAATAACAAACGCTTCGCAAAATGTTTTAAAATGTTCTTTATTATAAAACTAAACTGCCTTTGTCGATAAACTTTGCAATTGGGTTTGAAACGATAAACTTACCTTCGTTAACGTCGGCGCCTTTACTCCCTTCTTTTAGCAGTTCTTTCTCCTTTATTTTATCAAAAAGCTTTTGAAATTCACAAAATCTTGCAAAAATAAAATATATTTGCAAGAAATCATCAAATCAACAAATGTTTGCAATAAGGCTATAACCGTCATTTATTTATAGTAATACACTAAGCACTATGTTTTTTTATTTTTATCCTTCAAGAAACATGCATTGCGTTGCCACAGAAAGTACCGCAACAGATAGGGAAACGCCGGATGTGTCCAGCTAAACGTCTTTTTAACCTGGTCGAACAAAATATTTTTTATAAGCTAACCACGCCCCTTAGTGAACCGTTAATATATCTTAACGAGACAACGAACCTCTTCGAAGCTGTACCTTTTCCATTGTTGAATCAACCATCTAGCAAAGTGGTGCTACGCAGCGTTCTTTCCCCTACCCTCGATGAGCAAGGATGGGTGATTCGATATCTTGGTATGGCTCAACGAAACACGAAACTCGTGGAAAAAACAATGGAACCTGAAAATCTTCAACCATTTACAAAGTATTCAGACCACGGCCAGTTATTAAAAAGTTACCGCGAGGAGCAATCGAAACCTATAATTGCCTTTAAAATCCCTGGATTGGTAAGCATGCTGTTTTTAGTAATGTATCTTAGGATTGCGCCGTAGCCTGCATAGCGACTCTCAGGGAAAGGAGAGCCTGCACGAGATCTACTATTTTACCATTCCCGCCCACTTAGCCTGCCGGCTACGCCCACTTTCAACAGATGTTAAAATTGGCCAATCACACCGATTCAGTTTATGTTTGCAAATTTACTTGTCAAAATGAAATAATATAGATTGCTTTACGTTTGCAAACAGTGTGACCAGGTTTGGTTTTACTTTTGGTAAAATTTCGTGAATTTTCAAGAAAATTTGGTAATGAGGTTTTTTTGGTAAAATTTTGGTAAAATCTGAGAGGTTTAAATTATTAATAATAATTTAGGTAAAAATGTGTGTTTCTTGTTTAATAACATGCTCAAAGTGATGAACAGAACTGCCACGGCCTAAGAAATATAGCCTTATAAGCAAAAACTGCAATACGATGAAAGCTGATCATGAACAAGTATTTCGAGATACTTTTTGTGCATATTTTTTCTATATTGATGACGTAACTATTGTGGGTTTTTTTGCATTATTATGACGTAATTATTTGGGAAGCCGACATTTGGTAACATTTTTCTTAATTTAGTAAAATTTGAACAAACTTTTGGTAATGACAGCTAAAAAAATCTGGTAGTCACACTGTTTGCAAATTTCAAAACTAATATACGGATGTTGGCTAAAGAAAATTGAAGTCTGTGGGAATAGTGCTAGAGCAGTCTCCATCGTCGTTACAAGTAGTTTGTAGTACTGTACGTGTGCGAGAGAGCTACGAAATCTCGTGGATACCGTACAAATATAATTAGTTTCGACAACTATCAACCGTGATGTATTAAAATGTCAAAGACAAAGTTTCGAGCGAGCGATGCAGGGAGGAGAAAGGTGTCTGAACCGTCACTCCAGATAGAACAAGTCCTGTTCGTAACCATTCACGGCAATTCTCTCCTGGCACAAAATTATTAGCTACAAAATCTTCAAGAAAAAATCTATTTGTCGTCGATGCCAACGAACACGCTCGTGAAAGAGACTCGGCTAATAGACAACAATCCAACGAAGAAACCACAGCCACTATCTCTAGAGCTTCATGAGCAAAGCTCGTAAATACCTTTTAATTTTTGTTCATTCTTAAATGTAAATCGTGGCCTTTACAACTCTTTTGAATGCAAAACTAAAGAAATACCTCTCAACTGCATCCGCCGTGTTTTTTCACAATCAAGCTTTCAATCAATGATTATTTTGGCATAAATTAGCATGTTTTTCTTTTTGAACCAATCAGATTTCTCGTTCTCTGGGAGAACGAGTAAAAACGGCAAGGCATGGGGTTTCGTGCAGGCTCTCCTTTCTCTGAGAGCTTTTATGCAGTCTAGATTGCGCCGCTATCATCATTACAAAGCTATGCATGCATATGCCATATGAACTTTGAAATGATTTCATTTCGATATATACATATGGTATGTAGATCTTTTTTAACTACATGCATAACACCAGGAGGGCAATCCTCCCTCCAGGAATTAAATTGGCACCCAGACCCCCAGTCACAATGATAGTCACAATGGAAAAATTGACCGACTTGTTTTCTATAAACACAAATTAAGGAAAATTTTAATCTTTAAGCTAGTAACTGTCTAACTGAATGTGTTAAATGGCCACAAAATATTTCATAACCGTAATTTTTAGTAAGCAATTTTCGAAGTAATTTAGATAGTAGAAAAGATTCCAATATTGATCTTATAGTTATGAATCATTTGGACTGATTTGTTTACTTGAAAGATACCCTCATCCACAGATTATTTTGCAGCTTGTTGTTGTGTATAACAAACAGGAAAAGGTGACAACAAAATGTAGATTTGGTAACTCAAAATCCTAAAAATAGGAATTCAAATTGATGTATATTCACTAAATATTCAGCGAGCCCCATATAGATCTGGAGTGGGAACTCGAGTCCAAAATGTAAAGCCAAAGATGGAGTTATTGTCCCTTGCCCTCGGCATTCTTTCATCTGCGTGGTCTGCAAGGAGTGTGCCGAAATTTTGTATTATGACTTCGATTTAAAGAATAATACTATGTCTATGGTTTTATGAACTGATAACTTGATCAGCAATGCGATCGGTTACACAAACTGAAATCATAGCCGGGGAAAATGGTACTAAAATGGTTTACAAATAGGTATTACAGTAATACACGTCAATAGACCTTATGCATAATGACGTCACAAGGTTTGATGCCCGCGAGGAATGCTGGTCTTAGTAGTCATCGCCCGGGAAAATTTAACACTTCAAAATGGCCACTATCGAAATTTTCCCGGGCGATGACTACTAAGACCAGCATTCCTCGCGAGCATCAAGCCTTGTGACGTCATTATGCATAAGGTCTATTCCGCCCTGTTTCAAATTTAATTTTCAAACTTTTTTCAATGTTAGTTCCTCAAACATTTTCACATGCATATTTCTGAACGTTTTTCAAAATCAAATCTTCCACATTTTCAAACTTTTTTCAAACATTTTTAAAAATAAATCTGAACATGTGGTTCGTTCGTTCGTTTGCGATAGTTGATAAATTGGTAAAATCATATTCGCCGTATTTTTCTTTCTTCGAATTTATTCAACAATTTATTTTACAGGAACAAACATTTAACCTTATACCCATGGCAAAATACATGAAGTATCCCTCACAAGAATTACCTTTTAAAGATATCATTCACCAAGAAGCCTGGCAAAGTGACGATGTGTTTACGCAGCAACGCCTGGCAGGTTTAAATCCAATGTCTTTGAGAAAAATGACGATAGAAGGTGAGGACAATATTATGCATTTATGGATAGAATGTAATTAAAATGAAAAATCATTTTTATCAATAAATACTTTCAAACCAATTTCAAACAAATGTAAGTGATACAAGTGTTATTACTAATGAACGACGTGTCGAAGCCGTCATACAAAGGTTCAATTAGTATAAGAGAAATCTTTAAATTATTTATGATGAGTATTATTCATACGTGATCATGATTTATTCATTTCTATTATAGTACTGAAAATGAAAATGAAATTTTGCATGATGCCTGATGGCTTCGACACGTCGTTCATTAACAATAACATTTATATCGCTTCATATTTGTCTCAAAATCAAAAAAAAGAACAATTGTGAAATTTTAACTATGTACACTATAAAGGATGATTTGGAAAACTTGTTGATATTTCAGATTTTAATCAAGATTTCGTGAACAGAACCTACGATTGGGACGCGGCAATGCAACGAGCATTGGGGAAAAAGTCTACATTTTCTGAGGTAAACAAGGAAAAAAAAGACACATGCACTAGCTAACTACAGTGATATACCATCAACGATCCATACTACAATCATGCAAATTAGCATCCGTGCTAAACGCTTAAATTAAGATCTATTTGATTTTCTAATTATAATTTATAGCGAAATTCAGTCGTGTTACTTGTATAGCATAACAAATAATGAGCAGTTGACAATTAGTCGAACTCTCATTAAAAGATAGTGCACGAAGCAACTCGTTTCGCCATTCCTTTACTGATCAGTTACATTGAGTCCAGCGAGCGCGCTGGCCAACCACAATCACAAATTCATACATCAGTTTACATCCTTCCTTGGAAAAAGTGTTGACCGCTCTACATCGGCAATTCTGTGCAATACTATCCATCTCTGACTTGAACAATTGCCAATTTTATAAGCATTCACTATTGCTTAATTTGGCGAAAATACAATACCACATGACGAGGAATAAGCACTAAACCATAATTATTTTGGCATAAACGTCGACCATTCACATTGATCATGAATTGTATTGTACATGAGTTGAGTCGCCAACGAACTATTATTGTATGGGAAAGTAATCTTTATGCTTCCATTTCAAGTAACGATGTATTAACCGTTTTTTCTTTCTTTGTTCAGATGGTCAATTCAGGGAAAGTATTCATACTCGACTACCAATTGCTTCATGGTATTGATACCCTTGAGGACTACACGGAACGGAACACTACAGACAGGCGAGAAATGAGGGGATCACGAAGTCCGTTCTGTACGTTTGTTGTAGTCAACGTGGGAGGTGTTAAGAAATTGAAACCAGTCGCGATTCAGACGGACTTATTTTCAGGTAAACTTTCGTTTATTCATTGTCAACGCAATTACATAGGCGTAAGAGACAGGGGATAAATTTTGGAAAACCATGGAAATTCGGGCAAATGCTAGGAAAAGTCAAGAAAATTCGGGCATATTTATCAGAAAATAAGTTAAATTCAGGTAATTAATTTCATTACAATTCTCCATAAAAATTCGGGCAAACTTTCAACTGCAACCCCCCCCCC